GACAAATAGTCTATGTAAGAGTTTCGACCAGAATATGGCTACATCAGAAGCGAAGTGTTTGGTTTTGATCTACATATCTCCCCCTAGTGCATGTGCTTGTTATGAATGGCCCTTCCGAATCTCATAGGACGGCTGCGAAGCTGTCTTCTGGCAGGGGAAGCAGCAGGCGCAGCAGTAGAATTGGAGATCGGGCACGAGCTGTGCATGACACCGCGGCCGTTGGTACCAACATAGACAACGTTGGCCTCGTTGGCGGAACCAACAAGAGCAGCGCCGTCAATGGCACCAAAGCTGTAGGAGCCCTGGATGTCGACCCAGCTAGCACCACCATCGGCGCTGCCGTACAGCTTCTTGCCCTCAGAGCCGTTGCCAAAGACGTAAAGGTTCCAGGCGGTGCCGTCACCCTTGCCGACAGAGACAGCGTGGGCGTTGGAGGGGCTGGAAGACAGGGCGGAGAAGGTCTTTCCGGAGTCGGTGCTGTGGAAGATACCGGCATCGGTAGAAACCCAGATCTCGCCGGCCTGGGTGGGGTGGGCAGCGATGTGACGAATCTCGGTGACGTTACCGAGGGGAGCCTCGGTGAAGGTGGCGGCACCGTCGGTGGAGACGTAGAAGGTGGACTTGGACCCGGCATAGAATACGCCAGCGGCCTTCTTGTCACTGGCGATAACGCTGCTGGCAGGCAGGGTGACATTCTCGAGCTTGCCCTGGTTGCGGGAGGCAAGGACGCCCTCGTTGAGGGTAGACCAAAGGACGACATCGCCATCGGCAGAGTAGGCAACGGAACCATCAGCGGCAGTGGTGCCAGTGGCGTTGACGACAGTCCAGGTGGCACCGCCATCGCTGGAAAGAGCGAGCTGGGGAGTGCCGGTGACCTTACCGATACGAGCAACCTTGGTCACGTCGTTGCCGGCGAAATCGACGGACACACTGCTAGCCCACCAAGGGTTGGTCCAGGCAGTCTGAGGAGCCTTGCTAAGATCAGCGACGGAGTCGTAGGTGAAGCCGTTGTTGTCGAGAGTGGCCATGAGCAACTCGGAACCGCCAGGGGCAGAGGCCAGGGAAGAGATAGCCATCTCCTCAATGCCAGAAGCAAGACTCTCGATGGTGATGGTCTGGTTCTTGTCCCAGTTGGTCAGGTCATGGCCGCCGTAGATGGTGAGGCCGGTGCCGTAGAACCATCTGTCGCTGTCGTGGGGGTCGATCTCGAGGGACTCAATCATCCAGCCAAGCTTCTTGGTGTCAATGTCGAGGAAGTTGGTCTCGATCCAGGGGGCGTTCTTGGCGCCGATGGTGTACTGAGGCGCAACCTTGCCGTCGGCTCCCCAGTTCCAGATCTTCTTCCAGGTCGCACCAGAGTCAGTGGAGCGGAAGAGCTGAGCATCGGGATACCAGCTGTTGAGGGTAGCAACAACGATGGTGCCGGGCTTCTGCGCGTCGACGGCAATTCCGCCGAAGCCGTAGAAGAGATCGCTGCCGGAGGTAGGAGTAATGTCAGTCCACTTGCCGGAGGTGAGGTCGTATCTGTAGACGGCACCCTGAGTACCGTCGTACGGGCCAGAGCCATCAGAGTAGGTGAAGTAGATGACCTTCTCGGCGGCAGAGAGTCTAGCCTTGTGAGGGAAGAACTTGGCAGGCTGGTCGGCAACAGGGCCCCAGGTAGCACCGGCGTCGGTGCTAACGTAGACGGAAGCAGTGGTGTTGTCGGCGGTACCGACGAAGATGCGGGAGGTGGCACCGTTGACAGCTTCGGAGGTCTCATCGAAGGTGACGAAGGTCAGACCTTGAAGGTCGCCGTTGTAGGCATCGGTCTCGGCACCGGGGCGGAAAGTACCAACGGCCTCGAAAGAAGAGACCTTTTCAAAAGTCGCACCGCCATCGGTAGACTTCCACAAGCCCTTGCCGCTGCGGGCACCGAAGTAGAGGATCTGAGAGTTCTTGGGGTCGACAGCGAGACGCTCGCCCATGCCGCGTCCAGGCATGTTACCGCCGACCTTGAAGGGGAGCGTGGTGACCTCCCATGTCTCGCCCTTGTCGGAGCTGCGGGCGATGGTTCCATTGTTGGGGTCCCTGAGATAGTCAGCCAGGCTTCCTTGCACGAAGTGCATCGAGAAAAGTACCAATCGTTCGTGTACATGCCCGTCGCGATGTACACCTTGTTCGCATCGGCAGGATCCAGGGCCAGCGCGTCAATACCCCATCTGTTCCAGTTGCCGTCGTGCGCAAAGCCGTTCGCGTCGGTCACGGGAGTCCAGGAATCGTCGTCGTTGAGGCGGTAGAGGCCACCGATGTCGGTGCGGGCGAATGCGACGCCCTTCTCGGTCGGGTGGAATTGGATAGACGGGACGAAGCCACCACCGCCTCCGGTGTGGACGTTCTTCCAATCGCAGGCGGCGCGGGCGGATGCCGCCGCCGCCAGGATGAGTCCGGCGCCTCTCATTTTCGGGGTAGTTTTGTAGGTTGGTCTGGTCACTCGAGTCTCTAAAGAATGTGTGAAATCTTGAATGGGCCAGCCAAGATGAAGCGAATGTCGCCGATCGAAAGAGTGTCGATGAAAGCGAATGTCAGAGAAAAAAAAGAAAGGACTGGTTTGAACAGGTGATGGAAGAGCAAACAACTTCAATTGGGGGCCTGTCTACTTTTTACATGTCCATACGGACGTTTCTCACTCTCGCTTTCGGGCAGTATCCTTCTCTTGGTTAGCGATCCCTCCGATAGAGTGGCAGGGGACATTTGGACGTCAATTGCGCCTTCAGGGGAAGAAGGCATCTCGAATAGATTGAAAAGCTCCCCAGAAAACCTTAATATCGCGAAAGAACCTCCTCAGAAGCATTCCGACAGCCGAGGTGGGATGCTCGCGGGCCGCCCGCTGTAACCCATCAATCAGACGAGGCGCAGACAGGGTGTTCGAGCTCCATCAGCCCTGAAAAGTCCACCAGTACGAGGAGAACTTGGCCAGAAAGAGAGGTGATCCGGCAATTAGCCTATGTAGAATGAAGTCATGCCAACTCGGAGAACCGAGGAGAGTGAAAATGTTAGCCAATTGCTCATCTGTTTGTGTTGACTATTGTGTCAAATAAACATAAAGCCCCTGCAAACTTTGATTAAGGGGCAATGAGACGAACCCAGCGCTCCGGACTGAACAGAGTTAGCGACCGCGAATCCCTGCATCCTTGGGGGCGGAGCGGCTGTGACTAAGCGGAACAGGTGCCTTTCGAGCTCAAAAACAGAGTCATTTGCGCTTGGCGGCTAGAAAGGGTAGTTACCTATTTGAGCCCCAGGTCTTTACAGACGGTGATTTGACATGAAAGAGTTTCCAGACACGCGCTGAGTCTCATATACCTCTATCGTATGGGTCAAGACCGAACCAAAAGCGGAACCGAGAGATTCAACGACCAACTCTATCAAAGCCACGTGCTTTCAGTCGCTTCAACTCAAAGAGTCTTGGGGACCGAGGGTTTTTCGCCACTTTTCCACCTTACAGTCAGGTCTATCATTGCTGAGTGGCCAAGTGTTCGACGAAAACGACAAAACATCCTCTCCTTTCTGGTTTCTGATCTCCTAAGGATACCACTTTGCTCAAGAAGGCGGACGGACGATCATTTCTATTCCCATGTATCCTCCACTTCAGGCGGGCTGATGAATGAGTCGAATGGTAACGACATGGATCAGAGCACCAGCGTCAACCTGTCCAACCCATCGGCTCACTACATTTCAAAAGTTTTGTCCTGCCTTTGACATTGTTTATTGAGGGCTTTCATGTCATGCAGGAGACCATATCCTCAGGCGTTGACTTCGAGGTACTCCGGGAATTATGTCTTATCTTTCAGCTCAGATGGTATCAACTGACTTCGGCGTGGAAATTTCGAACAACTTCTCAAGGTCCTTGCATTTGAATGATTTCGCAGTCACGATATTGGAAATGCATCAAGATCTGGCGGCTCTGCTGAACACTCTGAGTCTCCATTCGGCCGATAACACCGTCCCCTAATCGTGCCCCCTCCCAAGCCGGCCGAACAATCTGGGGTTAATTAGCCGCAGTCGCTCGCAAGATTGAACTGATTGAGGGCTAGACTCGCCCTATCGCTCGCAGTATTGGTTGCAACGGCTACCAAGAATTATACGCGCCGGAGAAGCGACTGTCTTGTTAATATTTGAGATATTCGTCAGACCTACAGGTTGACAGATCGAGGTCTATTGTTCCGTCACCTCCTGAAACAGGCGACTTTGTTCTCTATGCCAAGTCAGGACAAAGGGGTTCTCTTGGTTGGGACGGGCTAAACTGTCACTGGATGGAAGACATCATCGCCTTCTTTATCCCAGCATGTCTAGCCGGGTCGCAACGCCACAAGTTGGCGCGTTCCCGGATTCGGTAGTTCGCACGGGATGCCCTGAAGTCTTTCACCGTCCCTGACTGCGTCTAGAAGTTGAAGGTTCAGCCGGACACAAATTCTGCTCCCTTTCTCTCAGTATCGCGACTCTCCCCTGAATTGGCGGGCTAAACTCAATTCTGCATTTAGCCCCGGATCGCGCCCCCCGCAACCATGTCCGCCACGTTACTGTGCCTGACAATCATGATGGTGATCAGTGATCACTTTTCACGTTCTCCAAAGGGTCCAAGCCACTGACCACCACGAGACCAGAGCGCCCTAAGAGCGGTGGTGGGTGGTGAACCATGGAAGATTTCACATCTCAAATGTCTATTCTTACGCTAAATCTCGGCACGCTTGACCGCAAGCGAGTTAGACAGGCTTTAGCATTCTCAAAGAGGCTTGATTCTCAAGATCTTCCTTCCACCCGTCGACGACCTGACCTAACCATCAATTAGACTTCTCGTAAAGGATCATGATGATCTATTCTCAGCCAGTCCCGCAACGTTCCTTGAGACCTAAAACATCATATAATCTCTTGACGATCCTTCGAAACATTTTCTTCTTATCCCCAGACTTGACAGTTCACTTTCATTCTTTCTTTCTTTCCTTCCATTCAGACCCAACAAGATGCGCGTTTCTCAAGCTTTCGCGACGTTTGTCGCCATCATTAGCGTGGCCAAGGCCGCCCCAGCCGACGATAAGGCGCGTCAGCACGCGGAATTCAAGCGCCAACTCGGCGGCAACGCAGGAGACGCCAAGGACGCGACTTTCGATTACGTTATTGTCGGCGGCGGTACCGCTGGCCTGGTGATGGCCAACAGATTGAGTGCCAATCCCAGCATCTCAGTCGCTGTGATCGAGGCCGGCACATTCTACCAGATTACGAACCCCATCATTGGCAACACGCCTGCGGGTGATACCCTCTTTGCGGGCGCCAGCCCTCTCGACACTAACCCTCTCGTTGACTGGAACTTCATCACTCAGCCCCAGGCTGGTGCCAATAACAGGCGCATCCACTATGCTCGTGGAAAGTGTCTCGGTGGAAGGTGAGTAATGATGTTAAAACCAGACGATCATGGGATGTACCTAACATTATCTAGCTCGGCACGTAACTTCATGATCTACCAGCGCGGCACGAAGCAGTCCTACCAGAAGTGGGCGGATGCTGTTGGCGATGACAGCTACACTTGGGATTCCCTCTTCCCTTACTTCCAGAAGAGTGTCAAATTCACCCCTCCCGGCTCCTCCCGCGCTGCCAACGCGAGCGCCGAGTACAACCCTGATGCTTTCTCCCCTGCCGGCGGACCTCTCCGTGTTTCCTACGCCAACTACGCCCAGCCCTTCAGCAGCTACCTGGAGCCTTCTCTTAATGAGATTGGTATCCCTCAGGCTCAGGACTTCAACAGTGGCGAGCTGATGGGCGCACAGTACTGCTCCGATACTATTGCACCTGAGACTGAGAAGCGCGAGTCCAGTCAGACCTCTTTCCTCAACCAGGCTATTGGCCGCTCCAACATGAAGGTCTTCCAGCTGTCTATGGCCAAGAAGATCCTCTTCGACAGCTCCAAGACCGCTACCGGAGTCGTCGTCAACACCGGTCTCGTCACTTATACCCTCAAGGCTCGCAAGGAAGTCATCCTCTCGGCCGGTGCTTTCCAGAGCCCTCAGCTTCTCATGGTTTCCGGTGTCGGCCCCAAGGACCAGCTCCAGAAATTCAACATCCCCATCGTCGCCGAGCGCCCTGGTGTTGGTCAGGGTATGGAGGATCACGTCTTCTTCGGACCTACATGGCGCGTCAAGGTCCAGACTCTGACCCGTCTTGCCAACGACCTCATCTACACTGCCGCTCAATTTGCATTCCAGTACTCCATCTTCAAGCAGGGTCCTCTCACCAACCCTGTCTGCGACTTCCTCGGCTAGGAGAAGGCTCCTCGTGACCTCATCAGCGCCGACACCGCCGCTATCCTCGACTCTCAGTTCCCTGAGGACTGGCCCGAGATTGAGTACCTCACTGCCCCTGGCTACGTCGGCAACTTCGCCAACCTCCTTCTCACCCAGCCCAAGGATGGTTACCAGTACGCCACCATCCTCGGCGGTCTTGTTGCCCCGATGTCCCGCGGCACTGTTACTCTCGCCTCGGCTGACACTAAGGACTTGCCTCTGATCAACCCCAACTGGCTCACCGACCCCACTGACGTTGCTGTTGCTCTTGCTACGTACAAGCGCCTCCGCCAGGCCTTCAGCAGCAAGGCCATGCAGCCCGTCCTCGCCGACAACAAGGAGTACTACCCTGGCGCCGCCGTCCAGACTGACGCTCAGATCATCCAGCAGATTCGCAACGATGTCATGACCATCTGGCACGCGTCTTGCACTTGCAGAATGGGCAAGAGCGATGACCCCAACGCGGTTGTTGACAAGGACGCGAAGGTCATCGGTGTCAACGGTCTGAGAGTTGTTGACGCTAGCAGCTTCGCGCTGCTTCCTCCTGGTCACCCTCAGAGCACCGTTTATGTGCTCGCTGAGAAGATCTCCGCCCAGATTCTCAACGGTTACTAGACAGATAACCAAACATGGAGTGGAGTGAAAGGGGGTGTTTGCACATAGACCACTGTTTACACACATAGACGAGATACCAGACTCTGTCATTGGACGAGATATTGTAATTACCATAACATCTTGTTTTCTTATCCTCTATTTTTTAAGATTAATACTGAAAAAACATGATCTGATCTCCTCGATCGTCCGCCTACTTTGGTGCTGTGTTGCTACTCGCCACCCGGCTCTGAGCCGCCAACCGGCCCTAGTTCGCCGGGTATGGCCGGCAAACCGATAGTACGATGCGGGGTTAAGTCGGTATACTCCCTCCCGAGCCCCTCGCATATGCATGTTTAGTGGATCGAAATGGGCTCGAGATGCATGGATGGGGTAACGGATGATGCCAATCTGCCTAGTCCAAGAAGCCCATCTTAGTCGTCGGTATCATAAGAGAGGAATGCCGGCTAACTGCCCGGCTACCCGGCTTCAGTGCTTATCATGGGCCCGATGTCAAGTCAATATCATGGCCGTCCAAAGCACAGTCTCTGATCCTAGGTATCAATGTCATAAAACCTGCCCGATGAATGCCAGCAGTCACATCGAATGCAAACGGCCGACCCGTTAAGAGTAACTTCTTTTACAGCTGACGCGCCAAAATGAAGCCGACTCTTGCTCTAGTGCATGCCATCCCCGTGATTGCTACACAGACAGCGAAAATTGCAAACAATGTCTTGTTCGGTAAAGACAACACGACCGACATCTGGCCGTATGGACCATTTCGTACTGCAGGAAGAGACATAGTCAATTCTCGTAATGACACAATCGTCTGGGCCGGCTTGAATTGGCCACTCAGTGGTAAGTTCGCACGCCAGTCTTTATGAATACCTCTACTGACATGGTAACGTCTAGGCGAGACCATGATTCCTGAAGGCGTCGAGTATCAATCTGTTTCAGACATCCTAGACTTGGTCAAAAGCGCGGGCTTCAACATGCTCAGGATGCCTTTCGCGATTGAAATGGTGGATCAGATCTACGAGCGGAACGGCTCTGACGTTGGTCTGAAAGAAGCTCTCATCAACGGAATGGGTGTTGAGAATGGCACCCGCGTCGCTGATATGATGGTTTCCAAGAACCCTTCATGGTCATTGGACACGACGAGATTCGAGATCTGGTCCGACATTGCAGAAATTGCGCAACAGAAAGGGATTTTGATTCACCCAGATAACCATGTCAGCAAGGCAATGTGGTGCTGCAGCAACATCGACGGCAACGCTTGGTTCGACAGCTTTAATTTCCCTGTCGACAAATGGCTTCGAGGTCTAGCTTATATTGCTCGCTGGGCTAGCAAGCACCCCAACGTTGCGAGCATGTCCCTTCGCAACGAGCTTAGGCCTAGTTACAACATCACCGAGCTGGCTGATGCACCCCTCCAGTACAACTGGCAGACATACGTCGGCAACATGACGGCCGGTGCTTATGTCATTCATGAGGCGAACCCGGACATCCTCATCAGCTGGTCCGGGATGCAATTTGATGAGGATCTATCAGGCCTCATCAATCAGAAGAATCTGATGACCCACGACTGCTATCACTGCGACACAATCAAGAATGGTTGGGTTTCTGACCCTGTCTTTTTCGACCTGGACGAACATCCTTTCAAGGACAAGGTATTTTGGGAGCTCCACATGTACGACGGACTAACCGAGACTGTGGCAACGGAGAACTGCAAGCTCACTGAGGTCGAGCTGTACTGGAGAGGATTGAATGCCTTGGGCATCGAGCCCCCGGAATACTGCAACCTGATGGGTGGGAAGTGTGAATCTGCCAAGAGGATTACCCCAGTAGTCCTTTCCGAGTTCGGATGGGGGCAAGATTCTAGCATGCTAAGCAACACATTTGTCAGTTGCATGACAAACATGACGGTCAACTACGGCGTCAACTGGATGATGTGGGCTCTCCCAGGCATCTATCGCGTACGAGAGGGTGGCCAGTTCGTGTTGGATACCTGGTCCCTCACAAATGATGACTTCTCCGGTTGGCAGTACGAAGAAGGCATGGAGAAAGTTTGGAAACCTTGGGTAAAGAGGATGGATGTGTACACGATTTGAGAGGATTGTCTACTTTTACACCGATAGCTGTATCAAGCTTAAAGATCAAAACTTGTCCATCTCTTGCGGCTACTGAATCAGCCTGTCTTCAATGATCTCAGCCCAATCATGGTCAACTCCACCATACAAGATGTCTCCCAGCCAACCTTTGATCTTCTTACAGACATCACCACCGTCGCCCTGTGGACCCATCGGAAAATGAATGTCCTGGGTACGATGACGAATCTGGGAAACTGCGCAAACGTACCACTATGAAGTGTTAGTCTACTTCACTTGTGATACGTCGGTGCCATTGGGGAACTTACCGCCGTGCCGGTGACGAAAGCCTCCAGGAGGCGGCCTTCGGAAGAGGCCTCAATAACTTCCGCAATGGTGTAGGTGCGTTCAGTGATTTCGAGCTCCTCGCCTAGTCTCTCCTGAGCCAAATCGAGACAGCTTCGTCTAACGACGCCGTCCAAGGTAAGCTTGTCGTCCAGAGGAGCAGTCAACAACTCTGTCTTTCCATCTTTGCGCTTCCACACAATGAAGAAATTGCTGCCTCCCGCTTCAGTGACCTGTCCGTTCTCCCCATAGAGCCACAAAATCTGTTGGAATCCTTGAGAAGAGGCCTCTCTTGTTGCTACTACCGTCGGGCCATAGTTGGCGCCGACCTTGCAGTACCCAAACCCGCCGACCCAAGCGCGAACGTCGGTTTCTGGATTGGTGTACAGGCGCAGACCTCCTTCGATCGTATCCAATCGAGCCATGAACGACACGATGATGTACATCAAGGCTTTCTTAGGGGCTTGAACGCCAAGGTTGGCATGCGTCCCAATCATAGTAGGGCGTACATACAAGAAGCTGCCAGGCCGGTCTTTCGGAAGCCATCGATCTCCGTCGACAGAGAGGAGAGCCATGATAAGTTTTTTGACCTCCGACGGCTCGAAATCCGGGAGCGCCATGCGCTGCGCAGAGACGCGGAAACGAGCAGCATTGCGCTCTAGACGGAACACGCGTAACTTTCCATCGAAGCCACGGTATACTTTGAGTCCTTCGAAGCATTCCGTTGAGTAGTGCAAGACTGACGCTGTAGGCAAAAGACTCAGAGGACCAAAAGGCTTGAGTTCCGGAGTATCCCATCCTGTGGATGCCTTCCATTGAACAGTGATCATATGATCTGTGCATACGGTTTCCTCTGCCGCATTTGCGGTTACTTCGTCTGGAACGGGCCTCGGCGCGGTCGTGTAGTCATAAGTCAAGGATGACGCATCAAGTCCATTTGAGCAGATTTTCTGTTGAGATGTACCATTTTGCCCACGAATGGGAAGCGTGACTTCTGCAAATGGTGACATGGGGACCTGAGGTGGTATGGGTAGGAAAGATATATAAGGGAGAACCACTTCAACGGGGCGCCTTTAGGAGAAGTCGAGATTTCGGGGTGAAGGCTGATGTGCTTCATGACAGAACCCCCAAAAATAGGTATAAATAGCAGCATGACTCTTCAAGTTCACAGTTGGGCATTTGTAATCGAGATATCATTCATAGTGGAAACGCGGGTTGCTTTGGCAGGTTCATCTGTGACTCACCGCTTTCATCGCTGCACCTATCGAGGCTACTTTACACAAGTCCCTTACAAAATGGGTACGCAAGTCTCACTGTCGGGATCGTCCAAAGCTGACTACATGCGAATGGCGTGGCCGCGAATGCGGGGAATCGCACCATGACCAAGCTAATCATGACCGGGCAGGATGCCTTAGTCCTCAAACCATTACTCTTGCAGATTGGACTCATGCCTCAGTTGAAGTTGCAGCCCCTTGCTGGCCTCGTTACCGTTTCTTGAACACCGTTGCAAGCGATGTTGGATTGGAAGAGGTTCAAGTATAAATTGGTCGACTTGCTCTTCGATGTCAAGTTTGTGTCCTTGCCAACATGATTCTGATGGGGCTCATGGTGATTGCGGGCATGCAGGGAACATGATAATACGACGTTCGGGTTTAAGGGCTAACAGTTCATTTCCCTCAGAGACAATGTCAATGGCAGTCTTCATTCGCCAGTGAAACGTTGATCGGACAACAATTGCGGATCAGATGTGCTGACCCACCAGATCGCCGTTCAGCAAGTTGGACGCGAAAAGCAGCATTCCTACGACACAATCACTCCGCCAAGAGCCATGCAATAGGCAATAGTACATAGATTTGCGGCACAAAGATATAGAGAAATATCAATAAGATCAATATGTCCAAGAATTATTCCGCTACGCCACGATGTTTCAACTCGTCAAGGATATCAGTGAACTCCTGCAAGCCGTGTTTCTCACTCATGTCTTTGATATATGGCAACTGCTTTTTGAGCCACTCGGTTTCATGTCCTGCCTCTGGGATAGCCATGCCATCCTCACGGACTGCCAACATTGGCGTGAACAACACCATCAAAAGGCTCTTGTTCCTATCCCGTGCCCCCTTCTCCAAACCATGTGATTTGTCCTGAACAACTTCGTCCCATGCATCCTCGATGTCAGCTGCAAGCTTGTCCCAATCTGCCTTCGTGCGATTTGGAGATGTGCGGACAACAGCAACGACTCGGTTAGAGTTCGATGAATGAGGCTTGCCGGCCATGAAATAGGTATCCTCCGCCGGTGCGTCTTCTTGTTTGATGAAGTCCACGTGCACGAAAAAGGACGGGGTATTGAACGCTTTGCAATGCAAGTTGGTGATTGATGTAGCGATCGCCTGACGCTGGTGCCCTGCAAGTGGGTACGTGTGGTAAACCTGATAAAATGGCATGATAATAATAGTAGCTGTCGATGTTATCGAGGTGAAAGTTATTACTGAAAGTGAAACTACACAGCCGGACGGGACGGAGATGTAGTTTTAAGTAGGAAGTGCAATCAATTATATTCACTTCACTATAGACCACCTTCAGACGCCTAGGCTGATCAGTAATCGTATGGTGGATGAGCATACCATAAGTCAGTGTTGAACGACGTCACAAGGTGACATGTGCGGGGTACACCATTAACTTCCCAGTCCGCCATGGTTGACGCCCATGTCCACCGTAATGAACAACACAAAGAGTTGAGCTTGAGAAGTTGGCTTTCAATTTGCATGTGACATCCAACAGATGGTTCTTCAGTTTGTGCTTCAGCTTGAGTGAACATGCACAATGAAGGGGGTTGTTGACTATACATGCCTAGAGAATTCACGGATATAGCCTTGAGCCCGCTGCGACTGCTCGGAGAACACCATTTGCCTCAAGATCTCGGACAAGACTTGCCAAGTGGTAGTCGCATCCCCTCGCCATCCTCAATGCCATCGTGACAGGGAGATATTCAGTGTGCATGGACTTGGTGCTGTTGTATGGAATTTCGCCGATTGGAACAACAACTTCCGGAGCCCCTGCCATGACTGGAACTGACGAGTCGTCAAATCCAAGCGGCGGTGTAGTCCGGGCTTGAAAATATTGGTCGCGGTACGAAGGCTCGCCGATGGACCAAGGGTATATGTAAAGTCCCTCAGAGCAAGTCTTTGCATTCTTTCTGCCGTAGCCCTCGGTCTCATACCAGCTCTTGAAGATGGAGATATTGCGGAGGGCTTGTGCGTAGACATCATCGGTTGCATGAAGCTGACCCCATTGCCATCTTGCCAGGGGGCCTGGGTTGATGTATGGCTGTCTTCCATCATACCTGGCCGCATAATCCTCGAAGAAAGATTTCCCATGCAGTTGCCACTGATCGTGAGAGACGAAAACCCCGTAAGTCAGGTAAAGCATCTCGTTGACGTCTGTAGTCAAGTTGTTGTGCGTCTCCATCCAAAGTTGAGTGTAATTGGCAGGTGTCGACTGAACTTGAAGAAATTGCTCAAGCTTTCGAACAAAAGATTCGATCACTTTAGCGGCTCCTTCACTGGACCCTCCAGACCAGGCCCCTCCCTCCACCGTGGAACGATAGATCTTCTTTGGGTACGCGGAGTAGTTAGACGCAAAGTCCGGGTACCAAGCTTGGGTCACCTTGGCCCATAGACTTCCGCTTCGTGCAAACATCCCGGCGGTGTCTGAGACGGGGCTCAACGGGATGACATGTTCCAGCGAAATGGCTCCTGTCGAGGGCCTATTTCCAAAGATTCCTTGTTGTCCTGCCGGGCCACGCATCGAGCCACCGGTATCACTGCCAACAGCCAAATCTAGCCATTCGTACGCCGCAATACCAGCACCAGGGCCGGTAGATGAGCCGCTGGGATCTTGGTATCCGTCGCCACGTGGGTTGAACGGTGCGTGCAAGTCGACCCAGTCAGCTGTCGGACGGTCGCCATTGGCGAACTGAACTGTGCCCATCTTCCCTACGAGAACTGCTCCAAGATCAATCAACCGTTGGATAGATGGGGCTGTCTGGTTCTGTCGCCCATATAGGTAGAAGTAGGCCCTGTTTCCTCCACTTGTGGCGACACCCTTGACTTGAAAGATGTCCTTCACACCGAAGCGAAGGCCGGCAAGTGGCTTTTCCTGAGTCGCAGTGTAGTGAAGCCGGGATGGCACCGCAATGCTCTTCGCCATGACATTTTCAGTGACCGCCAGAAGCGATGTGAAACCCCCTGCCTCATCACTAACAACTCCTTGAACAAAGGCCAGATTGTCGTCATCGTACAGCCGATACGCCTTGTAAATGTTCCCGCTATGAACCGAGATGAAGTATGGTCCTTTGGGCAGGTCCAGGCTCGCACGAAACGTCTCGACACTTGAGGCAATCCCTTGAAGATCGGACGATGAAACCAGAACTGAAGTCCCAAGTTCTTGAAGGCTGTTCGAAAGCCCCGAACCATCAACCGTCTTGTCGCCCGCTGCGTTGAGGCGAAGGTACATAGTTTGGAGAAATGCTGGCTGGAAAACATCATCCGAGGTTTCGTAAGTCGTTGTAGTATTCAAAAGTTCATCTTCCGACAGCGCAGAGTTCGAGAGCTCTATAACAGTCATAGGCAATAGATCCGCATATTTTGTCGTGGCATTCCGAATAAGGTCGGTTCGCATGTGGCCGACGGGAATTCCTCCGGAGTAATATTGGACATAGTTAATCTGGATAACGCGGCCTTGGTCTACGTAGGCCGTAACAGCCAGCGAGACTAAAGCGAGAGAAGGCACCAACCACATGATTGTCGCAGGTCACTTGGCGAATGTGAGATGGCCTGAGAAAGTGTCGAATGTTCGAATCAAGCACAGAGACAATATGGCTTTCAGTCAATTTGTAGTTAAACATATGCAACCTGGCACTGTTTGCCGTTGTCAAATTTCCATGTGTCAATCATCGAGAGTGCGTTATTTTGATAGTGTTAGAAGAGATATGGCCGATAGACTTGCAGCTTGTGTCGGGCTCGCGTAGTCCGCGTACATATCTTTGATCGGTGTTTTCGAGCCGACAGCGGCCTCACGACCCACGGAGCCGGATCCGGATCCCTGGCCCCCAACGGAGGTAACGGGGTTTAGCTGATCGTTATCGGAACAGAATGCCTGCGAACCAAGACTACAATGTCAGCAAGCTACGTTGGCCCCAGGCCGGAGGCCCACTTAGCGGTGTCCTTATCTTGCGCCGGGAGCCAGCGCGATGGAAGATAATCAGATTGGATACATTTGAGATAGGACCGCGTGAACATCGTATCAGACAAGAGTCAACAAAGTTAAAGCTACTAAATTCCAAGGTGCAAGATAATGACCATGTGGGCTTTCTTAAGACGATTCTCCTCGTCACAAAAGCGACTACTCCTGACAAGTATTCAATGACCAGAGAACGCTTGCCGCCAAGCCAACACATTCGCATTCTTCCCCCCTTGGTGGACAACCACCTGCCAAGCGAAATCGCCTCTTGGCGATAGTCCACTCCCCACAGCTGGCGGCTGTTGCCCCGCGGCTATGTACTTGGCAAATTGAGAATCCTTGTTGTACAGCAGTGACTTCGAAAGTCTTGAGCAAACATGCGGAGAGCAGAGGTTAAGATGAAAACGAGACAAGATGATTGTGTTGTGCAGCTTTGCCCGACTCGACTCGACTCGCTTACACGTTCATCAATATGTAATTCATCATCGGGCTTGACGCGCTATCTCAAAAGTCAAAGGCTCGGTTCTTTGCGCACTTTCCGATTGTGCGAGTAAGTCATGTGGACCAAATTACTCTGCGAAGACAATGAACCAGGTTATCTCACTATATGAGCTCGTCGAAGTCAGGAAAAGCCCTCGCAGAACCGTCTGAAACACCCTGTGCTAGGTTGTTTGTAAGCCTTTTTTACAGAAAGACCTTGTGCAGGGATTGGATGCTATTGAAACGCCGCGGTAGCTTTGAGGTGAAGTCAGAGTGCACGCACGCAATCAAAGCCCTTCTTCGGTTAGTTGACCTTAAGACTCATGACTGAGGACAACAGACAAAGACTTCGATAGTATATTACTGTTGTTTCAAAGAGCTCAGTGAGCGCTGCCAACAGAGACTACAGTAGTAATGTCGCTTGGGGCGGAAAGCGGCACTCGAATCACGAGACCAAAGTTTGATATATTGCTGACACTAATATTGGGCAGTTTACCTGGGCCTTAAAAGGAATCATTTATGGTTACCCGTTAGACTGATCCCCTTATTTTAGCATTCCGCTCAGACCAAGATGCGCCATCCCACGCGGGCCTTAATGCGACCCAAATGCGTGTAATAGACAATGAGTCTCAACGACCGTAGAACAGCGGTGATCTACTGAGTATTCCAAAAACGCTCTCAATCGCGTTCATCCATCGTCTGATTTCTGACAAGAGACGGGAGCTGCCTTGGCGGAGCCATTCGGGAAAGGGGCGATCGACCACAGCACCACTTCGGATGTCGTAGCACCAATCGCGAATTTTCCGCAGCGCATGCCGTGTCATGAAACCCCACGACTTTCCATGTTGGTTCATCTCAAGCAAAACGTCAGTTCAGAACAATCTCGCTTGAATCGACTGAGGGAATGGGCCATCCAATGTGGGGATCAAGGGATGACGGAGCGCTCCGTTGGTATTGGTGGTGGAATTACTGCGGCGTCTATTTACGTTTCAGAAGCAACAAATTGATTAAATCCGAGCGGCGGATTGATTGGTGGATCAACCCGCAAACGCCTCCTTTCGGAACAAAAGTGCGTCAACCCTGTCGAGACAGCGTCAAGGGTCATCGATGGCTAGACCCAATTTCAGCTAAACACATCGCGCCTGTTCGGCAGTGGCCCTTGGCAGAATTTGCGCCGTGTAGATGGTATGACGACGAAATAGAGTCGATAAAATGCGCTGATAGAGCAAAGATTTTGCATTAGAGTCAAGGCTGAGTTACGGGTACAGCCTACAGACGCGCTCTTTTCCGCACTCTCCAGGCGTCAACCCTGAGTAATGGCTTACATGACCCATCAAACAACCCGGATATCCATTCCGCCCGCCAATCTCTGGACTTGACAACAGCCGATGTCATTTTCCGGCTAGTTCGGCGAAGATCACCACTCACTCCAGTGCAAGCGCCCAAGCGAGATGCAACCTCCTTTCCAGAACAGTTGTATTCCCGGATCCATCATGAACCCGCCGTGACAAACCCACAAAAACCATTATGATTGAAACAAGATGGATCCGAACTCGCGGGTACGGCTTTCCACCTTCGTTGATGCCCTCGTATAGGGCGTAGCGCCAGTCTCAAGGCGTGACCTTTTCGGGTTCGGCTCGCGAGACACGCCTGGCTAAGTTGGAGGCAGAGACTTATAAAGAACGCGATCTTCTCGCCAAGTTCGGAGTTCTTCTCTTGGCCAACAACTTCAGCAATCAACTTCAATCGCTAGTCGATCTTTTCTATTCATTCAACTGCCACTCTTTAAATCACTACCCAATCCAGTCTCTACCAACTACCACACATACAAAATGCCTTCCACCAGCCAGATCGTCTCCGCCCTCGCCGTCACGGCCGTTGCCGGCGTCCAGGCCGCTATGGGCCCTGCCTTCAGCACCGGACCCGTCGCCTCCGACTCTTGGATCCGCGAGGCTACCTCTACTCTCGTCCTTCCCGCCGCCCCCGCCAACAACAAGGGCGACGCCTCCCTCTGGGTTGGCATGGGTACTTCCAACGGTGACCTGATCCAGTCCATTGCCGAGAACTGGAACTCCAACAAGTGGTCCGCCTACGCCTACACTCTGATGTCCACCGGTGCCAACTCTCAGATGCCCGTCCAGACTGAGGGCACCGACGCCGCCGAGGGTGACAAGATCACCATGCACTGTAAGTTTTGCTGCTTCTGATGGTGTAACTACGCAATTCGCTAACACATTTCCTGCAGACAAGTACGACGATGCCTCTGGCAACTACACCCAGACCGTCTCCCTGAACGACAAGGTCATCTCCACCCTGTCCACCAAGGACGGCCACGCCCAGGGCTGGGGCTCCGCCGTTGAGTGCGCCGAGGAGGACTGCGGCACCATCGGTGCTCACTCTTGGATCAACACCAAGATCATCCTCGATAAGGCCGATGCCAACTACATCAACACCATGGGCAAGGGCCAGGGTGTCACCGGCGACATGAGCACCAGCGACGGCGGCAAGACCTGGGTCGTCACCACCATCGAGATCCCCGAGTTCACCTTCGGCCAGTAAGCGGTTTCGAACACGCAGGTTGAGCCTGGCTTAGTTGAGGGGTGGCACTTTTTCTTTCATTGTACCTATTATGTCTGGACATAGCGTGCATTTTATACAGACCACTGGACATGACAGAACAGTCTTTGTACCAAAGCTGTAAAATACCATAATATTTGATTGTTCAACTTCTGTTTTTACGCGTGCCATCGGTGAGCGGTTTTGTTCGGATGGAAATCCAACTCAATCTCTGCCTATCACTGAGCAGGTGAAACTTGTCGGTTTGGACCACTCTCCTTCATTTTCCCGGATGCCTCAATCTCTAGAGTGCCATCAGCTATCTCTTCCACGCCGTCAATGACAGTTACATTCAGCTTCACGGCACCTGATTCGAAGTGCACGACTCCCTCAAATAAGGCGTCGATTTCCTCGAGAGTTTTGCCTGTTTGAGTCAGTTCCAAGCTTGCCACTGACCTCACGGAGACAAATTCAGTCTAATCGTACGGGAGCGCACATACCTTTGGTTTCAACGAAGAGCCACCATATTATCGCAAGAATGCCTAGGTTCCAGGCTGCGTTGGTCGCGTAGAAACGCCAACCCATTTTCTCGAGCGCGACAGGAAGTATGTAGGTCATCATGACACAGAAGGCAAATCCTGTCGCTTGCGCCAGGGCAAATCCTTTCGCACGCTGGCCAAATCGAAGAGTCCGTGGCGAATAAGTGTATTTGAGAATCATCCAAGAGCTGAAGGAAACGAACTGGAAGATGAAAATGATTACCACAGCCCCAATGCCAAAACTCGATTGCTGTTGAGGGTTGGCAGTCCCCAAGGCGCCGAGGAGCGCCAACATAGCCAGACAGAGTGTCATGATAGCGGTGTTCGCAAGCAAGAAACGCTTGGCACCAAGAACCATACGCCAAAGGCAACGGCGAAACAGCCCCAAATGCACAACCCAAGGTTGACGAGAAGTGTTGTCCGTGCTTCGACGATACCGGCAGATTCGACGGCCAGAGTCAAGAAGTATGGGAAAGTGTTTGAGCCGGAAATCTGGAAAAAGATGTTCGTCAATACCACAATAGCAAAACAGCGACGATCGGATCCTGTTTTGACCAAAGCTCCCCAACTGCTTGCGCCTGACTCTTCAGACTGCTTTTCGAAGTGGATTGTCTGGAGCATCTGTTGGTATTCAGCCTCCACGACGACGTCCCGTTCTGCACTTGATCCAAATCAAGTGGAAGCGACTGTGACGAGAGTATCCCGCACTTTTACCAGCATTGTTCACAACGAAAATTTCCCAAGCTTATTCGCAACATCTAAGAGACAAGAACCACCAAATTCAAGGCCACCTACGATGCATCATGCAGTCGCTTGCCTGCGAAGAGTGTAGGAAGCGCAAGGCGAGTTTCAGACTGAGCACGCTGGTGCAGCTGTAGCTGGCAACTTTTGCTGATCCCACTTAGGTTCGTTGTACGGGAAACACGCCATGTTCAACGTGTGAGAGACTCGGCACCAAGTGCCACTTTGAACTAAATAGACGAAAACACGGTCCCCGTCCAAAACATGCCCAACTCGACCAGGACAAGAACATTTCTACATCTGGCCCGCACAGCATCTCCACATTACCAGAGGCGTCAACTAGAAGACAGTCCCAAGTGTCAGGAACTTCTCCACCGGTTGGTTCCGGCGCTACGAGATCGCAGTTTAGTTGTGGCCATGCCCATAATTGGCGAGCAGGCTTGATCAAAACCATGGGGCAAGAGAAGTACTTTTACAATGAGTCAGTACCCTATAAATGTGATTCATTAATCTCGCCGTGTTGACACTTCGTGGAAGCGCACTTGTATCTGTTGACGAAACAATGCATTTGGTCTTGACCTTCTTCGCTACAGTCAATCGCCAGCAATGTCCACTCTTGCCCTTCTGCTACTTCCTCTCGCTCCTAGAAAGCGGTCAAGCAACACGTCACCTCTGTCATGCCATGTGCGCGGCAAGTGTTCCCTTCTCGAGACAAAGAGTGAGATCAACTCCATTCGATTGTAAGGTTTTTGCGTCAGATGCACGGGAACGCCTCAATTCTGGCCACGAAAACGCCCTCCAGTTGAAGGTTCAGCGAATCCTGAGTCTCGGCGTTTTGTCAGTGTCCGAGACGTACCAAGGGCGTGGGCTGCAGGCTTGGTATGATATAAGTGAGATCAGTTTTCGTTTTTCGATGATGTTTGATTCGAAGACGCCTTGAGCTTACTAGTCGATGTAACAGCGATGGCAGCGGCATCCATACCTGCACTACGGGAGTCTCTCACCAAATTTGACGCAGAAGTATCTCAGATATTGGACAGTGTAGACATTCACCCGAAAGTCTTCAGCGCTGTTCAGTCAATCGGCCAGATTGTTCAACCTTTTGGGATGTGCTCCTTAGAGTGGCCAGGTCTCAATGACGCCGAAGAGAACGAGTCCGCGAATACTTTGATGCCTCCTAGGCCACTACTCCAGCTTCCTCAGCTATTCCTCCGATGTGTTGCGCTGTCGCGAACAGACATAACGCAGATGAATCCTGCCCCTTGGTCTAGCGATTCAAGCTTCATGGCTCTAAAGCGTGACCTGGACGCGCTCTACGCGCTCCATGCCGGAGATCTGGCTTTGACACAGGAGACCGTGTGCTCGGTGCAGCATGATGAGCAGCATGCTGGAGAGCGCCTCACCACTCTTGCCATGTTCTACGGAGCCCGAACCCTAATGAACAGAGTCTTCTTGCCGGTCGGTATGGTGCCATGGGACCACGCTGGCACAGCGGAGTGCCGTGAAAGGACGGCGTCTGAGGACCAAACAACCCACCGCCACACTAGGAAAGAACTTGTATTCCCTTCCGCTCCCGAAGTCTTTCGAAAGGAACGGTCTGTTGCATGCATACATGGCGCTCGCCGTGCCACGCTTTTATGTCGGAAGATTCTGGAACTTGACATGTGCCCAGTGCGTTCTGCTCGATTATTCTTAGTTCTCTTAGACTTGACATCTCAACTAACTGAATCCAGCCTCCATTCCTTGGTTATGTCCTCTTCCTCGCAGGAAGTGTATTTTTAAGTCAGCTTCGCGCTGAGAATGACCACGCTCGCCGCAACGAATCTGTCAACCATCTGAAAGTAATATTCACTGTCCTGGGTACCATGAGAACATTCTTCAGCCCGGCTCATTTGTGGATTGACACTCTGTTTACTCTGTTTCGAATACACGCACTCCATCCTCTACATGAATCATCTTTGCTCTCAAGCTCTTCGGTTCAACTCTTGAGTAGCTTCTCCGCACGATTCCAGGACGTTTTCGAACCACCATTTTGCCCTGTGGACCCAGCGGCTATTTCAGTGATCAAATCTCAACCCCCACACACATCTAAGCCATATGATGAAAATCAGCAAAGGAGGAAGTATGTGGCCGTTTCCGGAGACGGGCTTGACGAAGGACAACGTCGAATGTCGGAAACCGCATTAAGGAAAGAAGGAACATCGTCACGACCTTCTCCCTTGGATGACTACGCACGATCAATCGAAAACGTAGTCGTCGATTTGGACAAAGACGAGGCCAGCACTACGACTGAGTTTGATTACATCCAGTCGCTTGTCACGTTGGCAGATCCGGCCCCCGCCAAACCGACATCAAAGGCAAGCCTATCGTCACGGCATGGATGCGTTTCTCATCGAACGGAACCACTCTCACTTTAAGAACCATGTCCTGGTCGCAATAGGCAATGAGAGTGATGAATGTGACTCGGTCACAGTTTCTTAGTTTATTTGCTAGGTTCCTGTTGCTCCCTAGTAATGATTTTGGATAACAATCCCCCCATTCAACTTTCCCACAGCTCCGCTGTCGTCCCTTCCCCATAAGTCGTAACACATAGCATCAGATATGAAAGCCAGGGCCAAACACGGGTCGGAAAATAGTTTTTTGTTGAAAGACGAGGCGCTCGAATTCGTGACAAAAACCCGCTCATTCACCATTGCAAGTCCTTATCTTTTCAACGGTTCCTATGATTTGTGAGAACCGGTCGTGCTTCTGATACGGGTTTGCGTACCTTATGTGCATTCCTTGGCGCAGCTGATATGGGGGAAGGCGGCATCGTCGCAGCAAACCTTTGCCCCAAAGGGGAATTTGCTGCTCACCCGCGCATTCTGGCATCCGTTGTTATCGTTGAGGCAGGCATAGCGGCCACTGTCTGACGCGACACATTTCTTGCAGTCGGCTGCCACAAGAGAGGCGCTCAAGAGAGTGCAGAAGAAGGTGATGAGACGCATTTCGAATGTTGGAATTGAAAGTAGCTAGAAAGAACGTGAAGATGATAGCTAATTACTGCAAGCTCATGGCGAAATCTATCTCTTTTTATATCCAGTTGCATTGGCCCCAGAATTTATCCCTGATAGCCATCCATGTGGTACGGATACATTCTCATTATTTGACAGAGGGTAGGGGTAAGTCATGTGGTGATAACGCTGTTACCAGAGGGCTGATCAATCTCAGGGGACCACCCATGGGCAAATAAGGTTCAGTGTTGCATCGTCTGAACCGGCAAGTAGTACAATTTGACCCTGACAACTCCCTCGCGAAGCCTTTGTTCGTCTATTCCTCACATTACTCGTGAATCTCGTCTAGTTCCTGTATGGGATCTGGTAGTAATCAAGTTTGCCCGTCTAGTTTTCCGTCGCATCGCTCAACATCGTGTAGTGCACTGCCTTATCAGAAGTAGCGAATAATTATCAGCTAGGTTCCTAAATACTTGATTCTTCATGAGGCTGCGGAACCTCAGAACTCATGATGAGTTTTCTTGATGCAAAAGTCCAACGCCCTTAAGTGAAGCATCATTCAAACTGATCGTCGGCATGGTGACGTCGCCGAGATGAGGAGCTGAGGTAGGTAACATAAATTATGAAACTTACAAGAAATGTGCCCTACGGTTTAGTAAACGTGGTTGAGTCGTGCCACACAAAACAATGGAAAAGGGACGATCTGCTGTTCAGCTGAAAGCTTGACTAG